TGTTATGTGTTAAATGGGTGGTAAATGCTATATTTTATTGGTGGTTAGTGTCAATGCACCATCAATTTGGTGGTCATTACAAATGCCCTATTACATTGGTGGTTGCTGGGAATAAAAATGTCCCCTTACATTTGTGGTCAATAAAAGTACATATACGACCTTACATTAGCCATGGTTAGGGTGAGGGAAAATCCCACTTTTTAAAATAGTGATCACTGGGTGGAATGCAGCCTCTTACATTGGTATTTAGTAGGAGGAATTCCCCATCTTACTTTGGTGGTCAACGGGAAGAATGACAAATGACATAATTGTTTGAAGAAAAATTCTACTGTTGGGCTGAAGATCAATCTGCCATGAAATTTCTTGGGACACTGGCACTAAGCAGATGGGCAGGTAAAGATGACACTCCCATCCCAGGCCCCACAGTAACCACATGGGCTTCTATGGCAATAGTTTCACCAGGGTTTAGCAACCAGTATGTATTAGGGCCTAATGCAGTGAAATGATTAATGTCTACAGTGGCCCCTTTAAGTACAGCTCACCCATAGGACATTTATGGGATGAAAGGGTGTGCAGGTTCAAGCTGGGTTGCACAGTAAATATAGCTGGGTTGGGCTGCACTTAAGGAGGGGTTGTAATCAAAGGACTAATGTTTTCATTGTCCATGTTGTATCCCCTGGACAGGAAGTGAAGGGAAATCTACCCTATACAGGAAATACAACAGGAGGTAAGAGGACATTTCTACAAAATGAAGGAATATACCCTCTTAGCCAGTTTTCACTGGAACAATTGTCCCCATTAGAAGATTTGTCCCCATTAGAAGAGGTCACTTGAGCGACAAGTGTAAAATTCTATCTGCAAAAAAAATTATATCTGCGGAGCGGAGACACAAACAGCAATAAAAACTGACAGGGGTTTTAACCACTTACTAACCTTTACAAAATGAAAGCAGAAAGGTTTGGCTTTGGATATAATTTAATTACAGCTAGCTCCTATTTGAATCCAAGCTACTGAGACAATGGTTACAAAGATGTCTGTTTTTTAAATGTGCAAAAAAACAAACAATAAAATACATTATTATATTTTTCAGTGTACATGTATTTATTATTCTGATACATTAGGGAGGAAATAGAATGTGGCAGTGACCCCCTAAAGAGCTGCTAAGTTTAACAAGCTCTCCTAGCCTTTCTGCTGGGGAACTGTCTTACTGCTGCCCCAACTCACTCACCAGCCCACCAGCAGCAACCAAATGGTGGACATCTACTCTGTCAATCTTTGCTTGTAGGTTTTATTGGATCAGTGTCCACAAGAAAGAGGGAGAGGGTTTACAGGATACCCAAACAACACAGTGGGGGGAATTTATCAAAGCACTTGCGACAGTTTTAGCCTCTTAGATCATTTTTTTTAAATGTGCAAATCTGTCTTTCAACATGTGCCCCTGTTTTCACCTGAGCTTACACTACTTTTCCAACTGCACGTGTTTTGCACCTGTTTTCTTCAGAGCTTGCACTCCTTTTTCAACTGCATGTTTTTTGCACCTTTTTTGCACGTGTTTTCATCTGCACTTGTTCTGGGCTGTCTGAAACTGGAGCATCACCTAACAAAACAATCACAACTTAAGAAGTCCCCATGACCACTTCTTCAAGATGCGACAGTTAAGCTTTTTGCCTGGAGTTGCGAGTCTTCTTTCCTGGAGTCTATTAAACCTCATTTATCAACAACATTACACTAGCAACATCAATCTGGTGCAAATATATTCCGTGCAAGTTCAAACACTCTCAATTGCTATTATAAATTTCCCCCAGTGCCTTTAAGCTGAGACCAGCGATTTTTCAATGTGTGCCTTTAAGCCGAGACTAGCAATTGACTGAGCAAGCTTTTTAAAGGTTCTCCCCTTTTTTTAGTCACCTTCCTATCTTTCAGGCCCTAACATAGGCCTCATTCCCTGGGATTGGCTGCTGAAGCTGATGGGGCCTGCCCAGGCAGTTGGCCTAAGAGGCATATGGCTTCTGTAGTATAAAAAGACCCAAAGGAGACCATCACTCTGCAGCCTTAAAGTTTTCCTACACACCTTCCTGAGGAAGAGACCAATGTAGAACCACAAAACGAATAGATTGTGAAATATGTTTGTTGTATGTCAAATAAAGATTGGCACTTGATGCACAATCTTTTTCAAACATTCTCTTCTATCAAGTGCGCCTCTGCAGACCTCATTTCTTTTTATGAAGCTTGTATCCTCACAGGTACTCTTCTCACCCTCCTCAGGCAGAAGGCCTGGGAGGCTATGGCAGAATCTCTTACAATAGCATAATCCCCAGACCAAGCCAGGGAAGGAAGGACCCTTCTAGAAGTGCTTCCTGAATATGTATCTCTTTCACCAGCCCACATAACTGGCAATAACTCTCTTAATGATTAACTAGGTTAAAAAAATTAAAATTTCATAACATCTGCCGAGCCGATGCATATGCGTTCGGCTCGACTGAGCTGCTCGGCCATGTTCGGGAGCTGTATGGCTATAGTGAATTCTACTGAACCGAAGGGGTCCTGGAGCCGAAGCTAGCCGAAGGATCGGCCGAAGCTACGGCTAGATCCTTTGGCAGCTTCGTGAATAGACCCCATTGTTTCTTCTTGCTCTATCTGCTGATGAACACTCCTCAACAACAGGCAGAAGCAAACAATATCCTAGGTTTAGGGGAAACCCAACAAACGTAGAAAATAATAACAATCAGGGCTCGGCCTGACTACAGCCTCGCTGCCCACTAAATTTAGACTAGTGGCACTGCAACTTTGTAAGGCTGGTACAAGAACATCAGAGAAGTTTAGAGAGGTTGCCACTATAAACTAGGGATTGTTGTTGCTATCTATAATAAAATATTCTTACCTTCAAATCTATGATGTAATTTTCAGAATGGATAGGGAATACATCCAATACAGTCACAACTGCTTTGTGAAAAGAACTAACCTTTAAAATCAGCTAAATTACATCACAAACGTTTTACGATGTACGTTGGTCATGCAATCAGTGTAGTCTAACCTGTTCTATCTCATTCTAGCTTGTACTTTGCAGCTTCTATAAAAGTGATATTTGTATTTATAATATTTAAAAGGAAATGTATACTGTGTCTGGTGTTAAAGTCCAGGCAGATACTGTATACAAACACAACAAATGTAGTTATGTATTAATTGAAAACTAAAAGAAGTATTTTATTACCAGGTTGTATAAGTACACAAACTTGTTTTGATATCAGTCTTATCCCTGAAATCTCTGTACAGCTGAACCTAGGCTGGTATAGTTAAATTACAAAAAAAAACTATTATTGGGATTATTTAGATTAGTGATGCCATGTCAATACCTTCAAGTTTAATGCCCCTTTCATACGGCAGATTTGATCAGGTCTGTCTGTCAGTTGTTCAGGCGGACCTGATCGGATGCCCAATGCAAGTCTATGGGTAGCCGTGTGTAAACGGATCAGCATCCATTTACACACGGGTTACCACCGCCTCTGGCCGGGTCTAATAATATGAACAGAACAGTGTTCCATTTCGCCAGACCGGATTGTGCTGGATCGGGGTCAATCTGATGTACTGTAGATGGACACATGTCCATTTACATCTGATTCCCCATAGACTGACATAGGGTACGGTAATTGCAGTTTTTTCCTCCGTCGTAAGATGGTTTTGGGTGGACTAACCCTCTACATTAAGCCAATATGTTTGATTAACTAGGTGAAATTAAATTTGAAACAAAAATAGAGTTGACCAATGATCAAGCAAAGGGTTTGTTTAGAATGGAAACCCATTTAAAATCAACGCAACTGTTTGATGCTTCTGTTCATTTGTTCTTCCAGTTCAAGCTTCTACACCAAATTCTTCCAGTCTATATCTGTCTTTTCAGTCTGTGTGGTCAGTTTGTGTGAGGTCTCAAACCAAGGCAGAGAAGCTATAGGAATACTTTAGAACTACAATACTAATAAAGACTAGGGATTAGCAAAACAAGCAAAGTTCGGTTTGCTGGACGTTAACCGAGTGCAGCAGGAAATATGCAAACCCCAAATAAAGTACACAAAGTACATTATGGGAGCCAAATTTGATTCTGGCCTTTTTCATGGCCAGTTTGCAAGCTTTTGGTAAAAATAGGTCATCAGTAGCTGGACACTGCCATGGGGGAGATGTATGAATGCAACATTTTTATAAACTACTCTTCAGTGGTGAGCAGTCCTTTTAAGTGGCTTAAAGGGCAACATTAAAAATACCCAAATCCTTTAAAGAACATGCTAAGGGGATGCCTTAAAACCTGCAGGTGAAGTTACAAACCCGTACAATGTACTACTGCCATTAAATGACAATTTCCAGGCAGCTTTGTTCTGTTTGTAAACATCTGTGTGGAGTCCTCACCTCAAAAATCCATACCTTAAAATACCTCCTCCAAATCCAGACCCTTATGACCAGCTGACAGGATGACCTGACAATGATGCAGCCCATTGCTACTCCCATGGATTGTCCCTTGCCGGCTGCTGAATCTCAACAATACAGTTGGGGTCCTTGGGTGACATAATTGACAAAATATGGTCTTTACCATACCCAGGATACCCACCAGCTTGTTTACAATGTGAAACAAGCGTTGGGAAGCTGCCATTTAGAGGTGGCAGTGATACTGCTGCTAAATGGATGACTTCTGGCTGCATCAGCCAGGGTTTGGGCATGCAATTCTGGCCATTTTGTTTGCCTGTTCATGGAATAGACTGGGTTCAGGTCAAACTCATGGTTGACCTGAACCCAAAGCTCATTTGTTACTGAAGACTAGGGATGCACCGATACCAGTATCGGTATTGGTGCCAATACAGGGCATTTCCACAAGTACTTGTGAAAACGCCCCGATACCAGCACTTTAGATTTTTAAACACAAGCAGCTGCCACAAGGTCCTGCGCTTGCTGGGGATCTGCGTGGCACCCTTGTGGGGACCTTGTGGCGGCTGTTTACAGCATCAGTCCAGCCACACATCTCCTCCTCCTTCCCGTCACCCTCCCACGCAGCCCTGGTGAGACCCTGCATGCATCCCTGGTGAGACCCTGCATGCAGTTCTGGTGAGACAAATTCAAAAAAGAAGGTTCCCCAAACATTAAATATATATTTTTTATACATCATTACCATTTTGTGTCACCTGTTTACCTGATCAGCTCCAATATAGGGATTTCTTTGTTTGGGGAACCTTCTTTTTTGAATTTGTTTACGGAAACCCTGGAGACTGATATAGATCACATATTATAATCTGTTTATAGCGTAACTCCTTACTCCCCTTGTTGTTTCAGTTCTGGTGAGACCCTGCATGCAGTTTTGGTGAGACCCTGCATGCAGTCCTGGTAAGACTCTGCATGCAGTTCTGGTGAGACCCTGCATGCAGCCCTGGTGAGGCCCTGCCCACAGCCCTGGCGAACAACACAGAGTATGTAGCTTCATATTCTGCATTGCTATATAATGTATTGCTGGCATTTTTATTCCTCTACAGCTGGTGGTATTGTGCATTGCTATATGATGTATTGCTGGGATTTGTAGTTCCTGGTATAGTAGATGCGTTCAGGCCCTGGCGCTCCACCACTGTCCTAAAATCATCAATCTGTATTGTTTTATAAATACTGTCAAATGACACTAAAAAATAAAAAAAAGGTATCGGTGATTGGTATCGGCAAGTACTTGAGGAAAAGTATCGGCACTCATACTCGGTCTTGAAAAAATTGTATCGGTGCATCACTATTAAAGACTACGAAAAGGACTTAAAACCTTTAAATAACTTTAGAACTTAAAAAAAAAACTTGAAACCAATCAAAGTAAAGGGATAGGCAGGTGAGTCGTCTTGTACTGACTATATACACAGTTCCCACATAGAACTATCACAGATGAGATGCTGGATGAAGTTTACCATAAGAGACATGTCTTTTTTTAGATAACGATAGAATTTTTAGCCTTAACCCCTTCGTGACGGGAGACGTACACTGTACGTCCCGCCACAAAGGGACCAAATGACTCGTCACGTACACTGTACGTGACGAGTTATTTGCTGCATTAGAGGGCTGGTAACCGCTGAGAATCAGCGGTTACCATTCATTAATGGATGCCTCAGTATAGAGGCATTTATTAATGAAAGGGTTAACCTTTTTCAGACACCTGATACCTTAATATCGGGTGTCTGAGAGTCAAAGCAGAGCGGGCAAACATTTTTGCTGGCATTCTGACAGCTCGTATAGATCTAGAGATATCTCTCGTATACTGGCTTTTTTTTTCACTTTCAGGAATAGATACATAATGTATCTATTCCTGAAAGAAGAATGTTGTTGGAACGTTCAAGAAAACCTTTAGTGACAGCTGAATCCTGAACTGCTGCAGGATCAGTGTCACTAACTTATTATTGGCTGTTCTGAAGTTTGAAACAGGCTAATAATAACCAAAAATGTATTAATTTATCAAGCAGTAATAGTGAGATTAATTCACAATGACTGCTTGATATAATTAAATAAATAAAATAAACATTTTAAAAAATGTTAAAAAATAGTGAAAAAAGTGTAAAAAAAATAAAAATACAGTAATACCTTGGTTTACAAGTAACTTGGTTTGAGAGTGTTTTGCAAGACAAGCAAACATTTCTGAAAAATTTTGCCTTGATATACAAGCGATGTCTTGCAATAAGACAACATTTTGTTTTTAGGTTGTGGAACAAATCATCTGAATTTAAATTATTTTGATATACAAGCGCTTTGGATTACAAGCATGCTTCCGGAACGAATTATGCTCGTAAACCAAGGTATTACTGTAGTGAAAAGTGTAAAGAAAAAAAAGTGTAAAAAAAATAAAAATAAAGGACAAATAAATGAATGTATTTATTGCGTTTTGTTTTTTTTTAGCTGTGCTGGTTTTGTTAAAAAATACTACAAATCAAAACTGTGAAAAAAGTGTTTTGTTTAACGTTTTTTCCTCATTTTTTTATATTTTAATTTGTCCTAAGTGAGGCGTTAGACACACATATGTGATATAAATATGTAGCCCTATCTGTCCTCTAAAAAACAATATATAATATGTGTGGGTGCACTTTGTAAGAAAGTATATTACTGACGTGGAAGAATCACACAGCAAAAGTGTCAAAAGTGTGTCAGTCTAGAGCTGCAACAGTTAATCGATTAAGTCGATTAAAATCGACGATTGAAAACGTTGGCAACGTTTTCGATCGTCGATTCGTCGGCTATCGATTGCTTAGCCTGTTCGGGGCTCTGCACGCGGCATGTCGCATGTCACACGTCACACGCTGCTCCCGACGTGCCCACCGCACAGGCCGCCGCCGCCGCATAAGCCACGGCCCCCGAACAGGCCGAAGCCGCGCACGCTGCTGATCTTCAACAGCAGTCTGAGCTCGAGGGGTCAAAGTGATAATTCTTCAGGCAGTCACAGTTTTGAGCCAGTTTAGGCAAACTCAGGCGAACTGTGTTCGCACCAAGCCCGGCCTCATCCCTAATCACAATATAGATGTCTGAAATGTCCCTTTCTTCTTTTTGCATTTGTCAAAGTATGTACCTAGTACATACAATTGCTAGTTTGCTGCATGATTTGATTGACATTCAAAACAGCTAAAATTATAATGAAGCAAAAAAGCTAAACCTCTAATGTGAATGAAGGAAGAATAACACCAAGAGGAAATTACACCAGGAAAGTAAACATGGCACAATAGTTTGTTAACTTTTCCAGTGACAAATCGCTAGAGGTTCCAGTGATTACATCAGTTTACAGAAATGGCTGGCAATAGCAATGTGTGGCATTGAATAATCTCTGCTACAAAATGCCTCTTCTGCCCTCAGGATAAGTGTGCCTATCTCCTATGGCATTAACATTGTTTTTTTTCTCACGTACAACTTATAGCAGTCAGAATACATGACTTCATAACTAATTTTTGGTGCTGGATGGGCAAAGCTTGCTGAACACCTATCAATCTTCATGGCTCACTGAGCACTTGAAATGGTCACAACTTTTTCCCCGACCGAGAACAGAATCGGTTTGATGCACGCACAAAGGGTTCTCAAATGCTTGCTTATAGAGATTTTCAACAAAAAAATTTTCATAGCAATGCACCCGAAGCTGCAGATTCTGGAACTGATTTGGCAAACAAGAGCACACGCTGCCAGCCAGTTAAACATAAAAACACGGTTCTTATACATATGTTTACTATTTTACCTGCAAAAGTTTTGGTAATTCCATACTATCACAATGTCCGGCACTCCATGCCGTATTTTCCCTTTGGTCCCTGGTGCTTGGCTGTCAGCCTATGGTGTTCCACAGGGCTGCAGCCAATCGGCACACCTCCTCCCCTATTTACCACTATCTCACTTGTTGCCCTGCCCCGAGCAACAAGTCTCATTTCTTCTGTTGGACCCCTTGTGGTTCCTGTTATCTCCTGTGCTTGTTTACCTTTTTGGATTTCTTCTTTGTGCTGATTCTAATGTTACTGTGATCTCCCTGTTGGCTATCCCCTCTTTGCTTGTGATCTCCCTGTTGGCTATTTGCCCTTTGCTTGTTTCTTGTGTTCCCATTTGTTGTGGTTCCTGTTTGTTTCTGAGTGCTGGTCTCCTACCTTGCTTGTATGTTCACATCCCCTTCTCTGTGTCTTCTAGTGCAATGCACATTCTCCAGTGCTATCCTTTGTGCACGGTGCCCAATGCATCTGTGGCTGTGCTATGCACGTCTCCATCTGCACAGCTTTCAGTGTATTTCTATATGAGTCTTCCTGTACTTTCCCCTGTCCATATCACCTAGAGTGCCTGTAGTTTTGTGTTATGTAGCGCTCAGGAGGCCTAGACCTCCTAGCACGTTTTGGGACAGGGGGGCTGGATGGGACCTCCCCTGGACCCCCTAAAGCATCAGCAAGCTGCTCCTGGAGCCACTGGGGGCCCTTTAGCTCAGCAGCTGCCCTGACCTGCGCCAATAGGGACTCCAGGTCACTCATGTTAATAAGGCTATGTCTTTTCCAACAGGGAAAAAAAAAAAGAACAACCTGCTTCCTTCGTCGATTTCCAGAAAGAGGACGTCCCTCAGCCCTCGCAGTCCCTTCCCATGCGGCTCCTCCCGGACACCTGACTCCCACGTCCAATCAGGTAAGAGCAGCTATTCCCATTTTCTTTTTTAACCCTTTCTCCCGGGACTATTCCTCCCCCCAGTCATGTAGCCCCTCCGCTTAGTCTCTCCGTGTCTGTCTTTTTCCTGCGTGTACACTCTGTATCCTAGCCCTGTACTCGCACCATCCCTTGTGTGCTTCTTCCCTGCTATACACTTTCCCAGTGTGAGCTGTGATTCCTTGTGCTCCCTGTGAGATTCTGCTTGTCCTGGTGGTGTTTGGTTATCTCTCATTGAGCTCTTGTACCTGCACTTGATTGACCTGATTGTCTGTCTTCCTCCTGTGTGGCTGCTTGTCCTGCAGCCTCACTCCTCTGAAAACTCCAGGATAGCCTTGTTACGCTGTCTCGCTTTGTTGTCCTTTGTGTCCCTTAACTCTATTTTTTATACTCCTTCCCTAGTGTCTTTTTGCACCCTGTACTGCAGCCTGTCCACAGGCTTTGCCCCTGTGTCTAGTGTCGCGGTGCTCCAAATAGTCCTCTGTTCTCAGACAAGTGAGTCACGTAGTTCCAGATTAAAGTGTGTATAAACCCTTACCATGAAGTTCTCTTATTTGTTCCCTTTCCTAGGCACTCTGCAGTGTTATCTCAAGCAATGTTTACTGTCCTGCCATGTGCACCTCTGTGAACTGCAGAACACCATACCAGCTTGTTGCAGTAACTTGCAGTACATGTGTCATGTTAAATGGCACCCCAATGCACAGCCATAATGCACCTGTACTGCAGCGCACCACATCTCACAGTGTGCAGTCAGATCATTTTGAGAGGACTGTCTATTGCGCTTCAACACAACACGCCTCAACAGGCTAAAATGAGTTGTGAATAGGCCTAGGTCCTGTGCAACTATATGCAAGATCTCAAACACAAAAAGCCATATGCATCTGAGTCAATGGACAAACTCAGTGATGTAGCTTACATCCAGATTGCATGGGTGATTAAAGTAGAACTTGAGCCAAAACTCTATTTTTTAGTTTTGGATAGATGCTTTTTTTGGCCACCTGTTTCTCATTGGGAAGATTTTCCTTCCCTTTCTGCCCAATGTCCTCAACAGAAAGTTAGAGGAAATCCCTCCAAAGAGAGGAAAATCCCTGGGGGTCAGCAGAATTAGGGTCCCAATTGAAAGATTTCCCATCTATTCCTGTTCTGATGTCAACACAAAATTTGGGATTTTCTTTCACTTTCACTTTTAGTGATCACGGTCACCAGGACAAACACATAAAGCATGATGTACTACACCTACATACAAAATTTTTTTGGTACTTAGTACCAAAAGTAGTACTTTTGTTACATTGTAATCTTTAATGATCTCCTCTGTTAGGGCCCAGAATGACAATGTGGGCATTCGAACATTTGCCAAAATATCTGCTACATGTCTACAGTTGCCATAGACACTAGAAGTGGTTTGGAGGGTGTTTTACCCTAACAATCTGACCTCTCTCGAGTATTTGTTCCAAAACATGAACAGTAACCTCAGGTGGCATCATAAAGCGGTAAAAACTTGCTGCAGACACCTCTGGCGCTGATGTATCATGGTGAAAATAACAGCAACTGTAAAAAGTTTTTGTTAACATGTTTTGATTACTAATAAACCTGGGTCCAATACAAAAAGGTAAATGCCCAATTAAACTTGGATAGTATATCATATGTCTGAAGGGTGTTTTTAAGTCCCCATGAGGCCCCTTCCTGTCCATATGGATGTATCTTACTGAATATGTTTGTGCTAGAAAAGTGAATAATTTGTAATCAAGTGTATCAAAGTAAGGAAGGGTTAGAACACTTGCCAGGTTTGTCTTTCTCATCAATGGTGACCATTGTCTCTGGAACAGAAGACAGCGATAGGGAACTCAAAAAGTTACAGTTATCACCAGAACAGGAATAGAGGGGAAATCTTCCAGACACTTCTTCCAATGGATACACATATTCCTCTATAAAAGGGGATTTCCTCTCACTTTCTGTTGTGCTCCTGGGATAGGAAGTAATGGGAATTCCTCCCAATGGGACACAGCCAGTGGGACACAGCCAGAAGGACTGACAAGTGGCTAACCATTACCTACTCTATACAAAACACCTAAGGATAGTAGATACATAATGTTATATTTATATTTACCTTTCCTCCATCTTCTACCTGTGAAACCTAGACGGGGATGATCTCACATTCCTTCTTGCTAAATCGTTGGGAATAAAGTGCAGCCAAAATCTAGTGAGACATTGCTACTGCAATGTACTGAAGTATATTCTTTTGAGATTTGGCCTTCCTTGCATTCCCCAGGAATCTTCCTGGTAAGATGGTGACGTCACACTCATGTCCAGCAATGCGGAAGGCGAGGGGTAAGGAATAAATAAGTATAGCTTATCTAACTTTTTTCTTTACAGGTACATTTTGGAACTACTTATATTAGGTGATTTTTTAAGGGGAAGGAGGTCCAGATATTAAATGCTGACCCTGCATCGTGCTGCAAGGTCCGCTTTAGGTTGAAAATCCAAGAAATCCAAAGGACCAGACTAAGGAACTATTGTGGGCTCAAATAAATGAAAGAATACTACCAAACAAGGAACAAAACAAGAAAATGTGTTCCATACTCATCCAAATAAAGAAACCATCTGAGGCTTATTATGCTATCATAGAGGAGAATGCATGAATCAGATATTTTTTCAGCATGTGATGGTCCTTCATTATGAGTCTTGTGTAAAGAATATGGATCTGTGACACACAGTCCTATTTTTTTCCAGAGTCACAATAAACCATGCATTGCAGTATAGTGAAATGATACTGTTTGGAGACATGCATTTTCTACTATAGTTATAATATTTAACTTCTTAAAGTGACTCTGTTGCTGGAATAAAACTCGAAATTCAGAGCTCCCTGCAATGAATAGAGTTAATACTTACCTGCCCAAATACCTGTGTGACTGATCTCCGCTGTATTGAAGTATTAAACTTCATAAAGTTTCTTCAGCATCTGACATTTCTTTAAGTGTGAGATGCCTCGTGTCCCTCTGCACTTTGTAGTCCCTTCTGCCAGCTGACACATCTCTACAGGACATAGTAGTGACATAGGGGCTAGTGGAACCACAGTGCACCCTGGAGACCAGGCATCTGTCATATCCAGAAATATGTCACATGATGAAGATTCAGAAGCCAATATGTCATTATAATTATTGTTTTACAACAGTCCAGTATTGATTTTGGTGCCAAATTAATCTAAACCTAACCCCTGCAAGGGAAACACTGTGCCCTGCTACACAGTTTGATAAATTAAAAAGGGTTCTGGTCTTGCCCCACACTTCAAGAGTTTTGGGATCAGGTACACTCCCTGACTCAGAAGTTCACAGACTGTCTAGTCCTGCAGGACCTGACCTCCTTCCTCTTGCGTCACAATTCTATCTCCTTGAAAGCCTATAAGCGCTCTATTGTTATGCACATGGTTAATGCCGCATGAGCCTGTATCCCGGTCTTGAGGAAAAGCCTCACCCCACCAACCAAACCACATTGGCTTGATCAAGTCTAGGGCATCTAGACCAGTGGTTCTCAACCTTTCAAGGACCGGGACCCCTTGGTAACATTTGCCAAGTTGTGGTGACCCCCAACGGTAAACTTTAGGGTTGACGCGGCTGCTGCAGCGACATCTGGCGGCGTGGCGGGAGAACTGACACTGCTGCGTAGGAGAGGGCTGAGGAGGACTCTCACCTAGCACAGCAGAAATCACACAGCGACCCACAGGTTGAGAACCACTGTTGTAACAGCTAAAATGGCAAACTATATAACACAAGCTGAGGGTGTCAACTTTTATTAATAATAATTATGATAATCACTTGATGTGGACCTGATGGAGAACTGCAGGTCCCCCTCTGCTGATTGACAGCAGCAGTGGGCGGGTGCAATAGCTAGTTTGCTATTGCAAAGTGAAATGGCCAATAGGAATGTAGCTATGCATTGCAATGCTGATTTATTTATTTTTTTCTGACTTACGGTGGCCGGGCTCCAATGTCAGAAATAAAATAAAAAAACGATTGCAACGAAAGGTTTAATCTGCTCGATCAAGCAGATTAAACCTTTCCGGGAGAAAGTGTTTCTCTCCCGGGCGGCCGGGAGCAGCTATCTAATAGCAGGAGACTCCCGGCGACCCCTGGCAAATTGTCATTCGACCCCCGAAGGGGTCCCGACCCACAGGTTGAGAACCGCTGATCTAGACCATGAAGGATCACTAGCACCCTTAAAGATACTTCCAAAATATTTTGGAATACCTTTATTTATTGGATTGAATTCAAACTATCTCCTTTATACATCCCTTACCAGCAGAGTCCTACTGCATGATTCTCCAGTGAGGGGGTCTAATGACTCTCAACCCTAACCCCCCTACCCCACCCCCCTTTTTTTTTTTCTTTATCCTTCTTTTACTTTTTTATCTCTTATCCCCTCTCTCTGTCCCACATGTTCTTTCTTCATGTATCTATGGTTATTTGGTTCGTTCTGTAAATATTATACAAAAATGTATGTTTTACCAAATATGTTTCTTTAAAGAACCAGCGACCTGTAGACCACTTGGTAGGGTTATTTTGCGTTTGTTGGATCCGCTGATCCTTCTCCATTAGCCATAATCTCTTCTTTGTATGTGAAGATGCTCTCTAGACTGCATTTGTTATCACTTTCATGTGCTGTTGGTATTTTCTTGACTTATACTCGTTTCTCACTGTGTGACCTGACTTTGTATTTTTTCCCTTTTTTGTATTGTTGTACATGATAAATAAAGAATTTATAAAAAAAAAAATGAAAATGGATATTAAGTCCTAAAATGGCATGTGGCCTGTGGACAAGCTCTCAATGTAAATGTGAGGCTTTAGTTAGTTTTAAAATAGTAAACAGGTTTATTTCACATGGCAATATAGGAGGGAAGGTGAGGTATGGGTCTGGATATTCCCAAAAATAGAGTAGATCTCCAACTTCAATGAAGGCCTTTATCTCTTCTAAATCATTTCAAATTCTCTCTTTGTGCCTTCAATTCACAAACTATGCTGGATAGATTCTTACAGAGTGCTGGCTCCTTGGCATGTTCTAGTGGTATCCAAGCAGGTTAACATGAAAAGGTTCCTGTGTATGCTTCCCACCAGTCATCACCACTTTTCAATACACGGGGGACAGTCACAGCATGTTTTCTCTAGGCCATACACTCTTATCTCCAGCAGCCACCATCTTTCTATTCCTAAGCCCAAGGCCTGCGAAGTTTTCTAGGATGATATCCTCACACAGCAAAAGAGAAGAGACAGAACAAGAAGTGTCCCAGATATTTAATAGTTTTCCCAACATGCATCAGCAGGTTCTCCAGGCCCACTGATTTGGCTAGGCTATGAACTATCCATAATAGAACACACTCTGCTACAGAATGCTCGAACAACATGAAAATACAGAATGCTACAAACTGTAAAATGATTTGCTTCGTGGACAGCGTACTTGCAGTCCAAATTATACTATGTGGTTAGAAGGGCTGTCATGAAAAGTGTTGCACATACTATAAACAATGCCACTTCAAGTAGTATTGGGTTTAAATGTTATAATAATGTTATAGTATCTTTAAGGGGGAAAAACACTTAAAAGACCATCGCTGCATTTTTAAGATTTGTTGGCCCTTCTTTATACCTTGGTCAACCATCTAATTAATGTCAGGCAACCATGGTAATGTGAAAAAATTACAGGCCTCCAGTGTGGCTTAGACAGACATATATTCAGCTGTCCTACAGCTCTGCCAGCTACAAAAGCCTTGCTAGTGACCGTGTGCATTCTAATTGAAAACACATATTGGAGGTATTATAGAAATTACACAGCAGTGATATTTGTATACATTTCAGGTGATTATATTTTATAAAATGGATTTGTTTATTTGCAACATTTTCGGTGAATAGACATGTCTATAGGCAAGCTTATACGACAAGGGTTTTGCAGACCTGCGTTAAAGGGAAACTACATTTTTCCTTCCAAATGCAGGAGTCCACTCTGGATAGGCTCCACAACGGAGGCTTACATGAGTGGATGGCATCGCTGCCCCCTGCTCAGGCCCGAGCCATTGGCTGTTCAGGGCTAAACACTGTCAACTGGGGAGAAGGCCACATGGTCACTCATTCCTAAAAACTCAGCTCCATCAAAGCAAAGGAGCGAGAAGGTGATAAGGAGCACACATATGTAAGAATACTTTGCTGGGGGGTTATTAGCCCTGAATGGGCAGAGTGACAGTGACTCATTAAATAAAATTACTACTTTGTAATTAATTACATAAATATGTTTAAGTAAGTCATTTTGAAAATACATTTCTAATGACTTTAAAACAAAGATAACCCAGGTCACCCAAACTCTGCAAACCCCCTTATGCCACTAAACAGTCAAAATGAACATCAGAAAAGTTATTTGTCTCTATTGCCACAACCTTTGTATAGCTGGACAAAGCTTTGATCATTTTGTGATGACTGGACCACTGAATGATTTGCCTTTCATATGACATCAGCAGCATAGCTACTACCTCTCTTGTCTCTCAGTGTGCATAATGAAAACTGGCAACATCGTGATGATGTAATTATGATACACTCGTGATGACATCATCTACCAATTGGGCCCACACAGTGAAAGGTATGTTACTGACATTTTCATGAGCAGATACCTTACTACCTTTCTACCTTACAGGGTTGAATCATTAAAACTGCAGAAAAAAATAGCACAAAATTGGAGCTGTTTATAATAGAAACCAGTTAGGTTTTTTACCCTTTATTTTACAGCAAAAAGAAACAGGAATTATGATTGGTTGATACAGGTTACAACTTCAGTTTAGTGGTCATTTTCTCCAGTTTTAGTGGCACAGACCACTTAAGCAAATGGATTGTTATGTAGATTAGTGAATAGGGTGAGGCTTCAATACCAAATCCAAATGAAAAAACAGGGGTTTTGCTTCCTCATGATTGGAGGATGGAAGTGAAACA